GACAAAAAAGCACCGGCCTCAGTCTTTGCTGCCATCAATGCCATTACTTCCTGTTTCCCAAATGTGTTCATGGTCAGCAAGACTGTGGATGTGGTCTACGCTGGATGGACACGTGTACAGGCTGATCTTAACTGTATGGCTGATCTCTATAACACCAGTACAAACTGGAAATACTTCATCAACCTCTGTGGTCAGGATTTCCCTCTAAAAACTAACTTGGAAATTGTGCAAGCTTTGCGTTCACTGAAAGGAGGTAACAGTTTGGAGTCTGAAGAAATGTCTCAAGGAAAGAAGAAGAGGGTGATGAATGTTTACCAAGTAGTTGATGGACAAATCCAGGTACTTCTTTTGGATATTTTTTATAATGTATGATGTAGCTATTATCAATTCTCTTTGCTATTCTAAAAACCTTCAACTCAGACTGACTCCCCATCATGTTAACTTTTCAATTGTCCCAGCCAATAGGAAAAACAAAGGATCCAACTCCCTTCAATCTCCCTATACTATCAGGAAATGCCTACATTGTGGTCAACCGAGGTTACATTCGCAGTGTGTTGGAAGACAAGCGAATAAAGGCCCTCATTGAGTGGGCCAAAGACACCTACAGTCCTGATGAGTTTCTGTGGGCAACAATACAACGAATGCCTGGTGTTCCTGGTTCAACATGGCCCAACCGTAAATTTGACATGACAGACATTAATGCAATTGCACGAATGGTGAAGTGGCGTATGCATGAGGGGTCAGAGGATTCTCTGCAAGCAGCATACCCAGAATGTAAAGGCCACCATGTCAGATCAATATGTGTGTATGGTGCTGGAGACCTGCAGTGGTTGATTGAACAGCATCACCTTTTTGCCAATAAGTTTGATGCAGACAGAGATCCCATTGCTGTCCACTGCTTGGAGAAATATCTGAGATACAAGGCACTGATAGAGTTAGTTTAGGTGAAGTGTTAATTATCTATTATAAATGACAATTCTATTAGATACTGAAACTATGAACACATTCTTGGATAGCATTGGATCATAATTGTCATGTGGAGATAGATGTGTTATGAAAGTTGAGGATGTACGTAAAATATTAATTTCATTATAGGTTTTTTTTTTAACTCTGCACGTCTTTTAATGTTTATTAAAAATTTAATTACAATTACCTATATTTATATTTCAGCAGACAAACGTTACTAATCTAGCATGGCGTGTGAAAGTTTCATAACCCAATGGAAAAACTCCTTGTGGCTTGCATAGATACAAATACGAAATATTATTAGTTTCGAAATATTCTGTAAATTCAATTTTATTTACATGACCTTAAATCACAATAACGGTTGCCAATATTATAGAAACAACCCCAACAATCAGATGACAGCCTAAGAGTGAGCACATGGCAACACTTTTAATAGGAAGAAACAGCCTTAGGAAGGGGTGGCCAACAGCTACGTCTGGTTAGGGTGTGAAAGGAAGGAGACAGAGACAGAGATTGAGAATGAATACCATGTAAGCCATAAAGAAAGATGTACAAATAAATAAAAGTGATATGATCTAACCTAACTCTCTAAATAATAGACACAGTAAGAATAACTGTCTTGTATTCATGCATACACACACACACACACACACACGCACGCACACAAATGTTCAGTACTAGCACACTTCCCTGATTTTGGGTGTGTGTGTCAGAGTAATTTCAAACTAAAAGCATTACAAACAACTTCTGTTACAGAACAATACAACTCTGCTACTTTATTCTTACAGTGACATAAGGGGTGACAACACTGTAAACACTTAATATAAATATTGACTGAGGGTTAGGGAGTGCAACATAATATGAAACATTGCTGTATATGAGTGACCTACACCTTCATAATTTCAGCTCGTGTCATCAAAGTATTTGGATGTTCAAACACAAATGTAAGACAGCACACAAGAATTAATATAACAAAAAACATCACCAAATAACATACTGAATTTATTTTGTTTTTTAATTTCTGTATTACATGTACAGTATAAAGACAAATACTTCATCTATATTGAATTTTAATTAGTAAGTGGCATCAGGTGACATAATTTAATTTAAAAATTATTCAATAAATTTCTTTAAACTAAATTACATCTCCTGTAAGCTTACTGTGCCTTCTGCTCATTTGTGTTGTTTTTATGATGGGATGGTGGTACTACTCAAGAGCATCACTGTGGCTTTTGAAAATGCGCTATTATAATAACCCAGAGTTAATTATCAATACATATTTGTTGTTAACACATGTTTGGTACAAGCCAATAACAAGACAATCTGAGCTGCATGGTTGAGTACTGTATTACAGTATAAAGCGTTTTCCTTCAGCACACCACAGTCTCTGCAAGACAACCATAGTATTACTGTATATTCAACACGCTCAGATCTTAATTGGATTTTTCTATTTTTTTCTCTTCAGGGAGAAAAGAAGAAAGGCAGCAGCCAAATAACTCACAGCTGAGGTCCCCTTGTGAGAGGGAAATAAAGAAGGAAAAGAAATGAATGAGACTTATTCACAGTAAAACATTGTCGCATGGGTGTGACTTATTTACAGACTGTTTGAAACTGATTTTCACCATGTCAAAGAAATATTTGGTGAATGAGATGTCAAATTCAAAACTTTGAAAAAAGTACGTTTTATATAGCAGGTCAGCAATAAATATGACATTTAATCAAAATACAGAAGGCTAATCTGTTGTGTTTGGATGTTGTAGTCTGGAAAGGTTATGTAAAGCTGTTTAACATTACCATTAAATATCTTGGGTTCTACTATTACATCATCATCATCATCATCATCATCATTACAGATGAACTACTTCTCATGTTGGCATCCTGTTTGACTGGAACAAACACATTTTCTTTTTCCTCCTCCTCCTTCTTCTTCTTCTAATGTGGACAAACATTTCCTGGTTTGAAATGGGAGCAGCTTTACTCTATTAAATGGAAGCAGTGGAATACTTACATATCACTTTGGTGCTCTTTCCTGCAATTCTGTGTGGAGAGCAAAAGTAAGTGAGGCACTATACTGTCAGTAGATGTGGGAAAAAAAACAGGATTAATTGACAAAAAGAAAAACAAGGTGAGAATTCAAGATCAAAGCAAGGTAGTGCAGTACATGGGGTGTAACAGTTTTTCTAAAATGAGTCAATATTTGACACTTAAACAAGAGAATAGATAAGAAGTGGTGTTATGCGGTCTTTTACAGAAAGGCAAGCAGAGATGACAATATGCACACTAACAAACACTCCTTCATTTCCCTGTTTAACAAGATAACATTTTTAAAACAAGCCATTTTTGCTGTCTGTCTGTACTCTACGTGGACGTCTTTACTTTTCTGCACTCCTTCCTGCATGAAGAATGCTACAATAATATTACTACACCTCACCACACATAACATTTTCAATTTAATTGCACATAAAATTTAGTGGCTGTCCTGTGAGGACCATATATCTATTGAAAAATTGTTGTTCATCAGCTCAGAAACACAGGCCTACATCTTGACTTTCAAAGAACATTAAAATATATGAAACCTTTTTTAAATCAGCTAAATCATCAAGTCCATTTGTTCACTTTATTAGTTTCGTTTGCAGTTCTTTCATTAATATAATTCATTAATCATTTTATTTAAACCTAACATTGATATTATGAGGCACACACATAATAGCATTGTGTGGTTTTTCTAAAAATGTTTTCTGTATTATTAATTATGTTTCTCTTTCTCTGAGTTACCTGGTTTGGGGCGGTGGCTGTTTCCTGTCTAGGGCAAAAGGCGTGGCTGAGGATGAGAATGTCATGGTCCTGGGCCATGTTGGCCCAGTGTTCTTAGTTTTCTTGTATGTTTGTATTTTGTTCCCTATTTAGGCCATGTTTCCTGAGTTGCCCTGTTGTGTTGTTCCCTAAGTGTTTTCCCTTCGTGGCTTTTACCCCCTGTGTGCCCCTCTGTGTATCTGTGAGCCCTCGTCTCTCCTTATG